AAAAAAAAAAAAAAAAAAAATAAAAAAAAAAAAAAAAAAAAAAAAGACAAAAAAAAAGAAGTAAAAGAAATCATTTTAGTCTTGTATCAGTTCAGTCCCACATAATTAATTCTTGTTCTGTTTGATGTTAGGTTGGCAGTTTTATGAGTTCAGTTTTTCCACTGGAGTTTTGGACTTTTTACCCGGTATAATTGAATAACCTCAAAGTGATCAGCAGAGGTCAGTATTTTTAAGTACCTGTCAGATCCTATCTTTTTTTGAACTTATTTGAAAAAAGAACATTTCAGGATTTGTGAAGACCTTTTAAAAACAGTATTCAAGGGCCAGCCCGTGGCTCACTCGGGAGAGTGCGGTGCTGATAACACCAAGGCCCCGGGTTCGGATCCCATATACAGATGGCCGGTTCGCTCACTGGCTGAGCGTGGTGCTGACAACACCAAGTCAAGGGTTAAGATCCCTTTACCGGTCATCTTTAAAAAAAAAAAAAAAAACAGTATTCAAATACAGCAGTTCACTGTGGCATGGTTAAAGACATAATTGACAAAGAAATTTGGTATCAGTATATTACTAATATTAAAGTCAATTTTAATAAAACTCTAAAAAAGTCCACTTAATGTTAGTTTTGACAAGGTGAGATTTTTATAAACTTTGTATAACCTTTTTACAAATTTTTTGTCTATATTTCTTTCTAGTCCTTCAATTTGAAATAATCTTTAAAGCAGACAAATTATCTTTAACAGATATTTCATATCTTTCCTATAACATTTTAAAAAATTTTATTTATTTATTATTTTTTGTTACATTCTAAGATGATGTGGAGCAGTTGGGGGGAGGAGGAGAGGGTGGGAGGCAGAGGAAAGAGGGAGGGTGTGGCATGGTCGAGGCCCGTGGCACCCCTCGTTCCGGCAGGTAGCTCTGTGGTCACTGGGCTGGATGCGCACGTCGGGGGGGCATGGCTGAGGCTGGACATATACGGATCAAACCCTGTTCCTTGATACCGTCAGCGTCCACGCTAACCAGTTGAGCTAATCGGCCTGCCCCTTGTCTTCTTTTTCACCAAACAATTCTAATTGCAAAATGATGTTATAATTGCAAAATGATGTTGTAATTTAGAAGGCCGTTTTCTGGTCATTTTGCTTGATCCCTCCACAAGTTTTGGGGCCAAGCAGTGTTGCAATAACAGATCTTTTTCTTCCTGGGCTCATAGCTGAGTTCAGCTCAGTTCTGCAGAACATAGCCAAGAGGGCTGCATGGTGGGATGGGGCTGATATTCCCCATTGTAAACAAAATTTTGAACCAGTTGGTATTGCTCTTGAGATAGTCAGCACACAAACCAAGAAACAGGACAAAAGACCTGTGCCCACTGTCCTGCTCTGGACCCTGAGTATACTCAAACTCATCCCCATCTGCACCAGATAGATGCCTATTATCCACTCAAGGTGGGGTGGACTCTCAGTCCAGGTTGAGATAGAATGAACAGCTGCCCTGGGTTAGGCTTCCCTAGATTCTGCTGGTAACTCCTTTGGTATGTGCTGGGTAGAGAGAGGACATACAAAGAAGGAACAAAAGATCACAGAAACCGAAAACCAAAACCAAGACAGCCTTAAAAGGTTCATTCTCACTGCACCCAAAATAAGGGAAAAGTAATTCCCCTGCCCCCAAAGCAAAAGCTTATAGTGGAAAGAACCAGGTCCTTGGTGTCATCACACCCGGCTGGCACTTACCAAGGTGCCTTCCTAGTCCAAAGCCAACCTTTTCCACTGCAAAGTGCCAGGGGGGGTGAATAATGGGGCCTTGGCACCTGGTCTGCTGTGGTCCAAGCAAATCTCATTTGACAGCTGCTAAGGCAGTATCTGTGAATTCCTAGTCGGCTGGGAAGTTGACATGCCACAGACAAAACCGTGAGGTCGTGTGTCCCCTTACGGGCCACCAAATTTGTGACTGAACCGAGACAGGTCCGTCATCCGCTGCCCACATCTCTAAGAAATACCTCATGCCAAAGTTTACAGTGTTAAAGATTAGCATTTGTTTGAATGCCATTCAAAGACGCTGGTGGTAGCTAAGGGAGCTTTTAAGACCCCAGGCTCCAAACTCACTTTTCTATATTACCATGCTCTCCTGGACTTAAGCCTGAAGATCTCTCAGTATTTTTATTGCATTTAGAAAGATTTTATAAAAAATATTTTGTCTAGGGGCCGGCCCGTGGCTCACTCGGGAGAGTGTGGTGCTGATAACACCAAGGCCCCGGGTTCGGATCCCATATAGGGATGGCTGGTTGGCTCACTGCCTGAGTGTGGTGCTGACAACACCAAGCCAAGGGTTAAGATCCCCTTACCGGTCATCTTTTAAAAAAAAAAAAAAAAAAATTTTGTCTAGTTTTCTTACCTGTCTTCAGCAGAAGAGATGGCCCAACATGACAAAAAGTTAAAGTCAAGAGTAAACTTTTCAAAATGCCATCACGTAATTTTAGAGTACATTTTAAAATTATCACTCAAGTAGAACACTTTCGCTTATTATTTCCTCTTCTATGAAATGATTGCTCATTACAATTCAGATTAACTAAAGAATTATTAGATATGAAAATATCACAGAATTGGTTTAAAATTATATAACCTCCTTACTCTTACTTAATTTGAGACTGTTGAATTTAAATATGTGCTTGTGTTCCAAAAATTATAAAACGAATACATAAAGTCCCTTTTATGCCATTTTTACAAAAATGGGAAAGAAAGATGATATACAAATGACAAATCCTCCTGAAATGGCCTTTAAAGCTTTTCTTCGCTGGACAGGCCATCTGACTTCTCTTTCTGCTTATTCTGGAAATCACTGCAAGACCCTAGTATCAGTTTCCTGGTTCCAGCTTACTTTACCCTCTACCTTTTCTCAACATCTCTCCTATTATCTTTCTTTATCCAATTGTTTTTCATTGTAGTAATATACACACCACATAAAATTTACCATCTTCTGGTGGGGCAGAACAGAGTGGACAACGGCCTGCACAGCCACATGCCCAAGTTTTATCGTGACTTCTGCAATACATACTCACCCATGACTCTCCATCTGTGAGAAAGACACGCTGCAGTGGTAGGAAACACAAAGAGAAGGTGAAAGCCTGCGATCAGAAATGGATGGAAGAGCAGGCTCAGAGCCTGATGGACAAAACAACAGCTGCATTTCAACAAGGAAAGATACCGCCTACTCCATCCTCTGCAGCTCCTCCTGTAGGGGCAATGATCCCACCTCCTCCCAGTCTCCCGGGTCCTCCTTGCCCTGGTATGATGCCAGCACCCCATATGGGGGGCCCTCCCATGATGCTAATGATGGGCCCTTCTCCTCCTGGGATAATGCCAGTGGGAGCTGCTCCTGGAATGAGCCCATCCTATGGGAGGCCACATGCCAATGATGCCTGGTCCTCCAATGATGAGACCTCCTGCCCGTCCCATGATGGTGCCCACTTGGTCAGGAATGACACGACTGGACAGATAAGAATAGAGAGGAGGCTTCTTTATATCAGTTTTGTATTACTTGTACTTCATCAGAGATCATGGTGCTGTGACTCTGGGTGTTTTCTAACAGCATGACGCGAAAGATTTGTTCCTCTTTCCTAGTAAAGAGAGAATAGTTTTGGAGGGGAGAACTGGGACCAAAAAAGTGCAGTTTTCATTTGTATTGTGAAATGTGAAAATAAAATTGTCAACACTCAAAAAAAAATTTACCATCTTAACCATTCTTAAGTGTACAGTTCAGTGGTATTAGGTACATTCATATCGTTGTGAAACTGTTTCCAGAATACTTTTCATCTTGCAAAACTGAAACTCTGTACCCATTAAACAATAACTTCCCTTTCCTCCGTCCCCCAGCCCTTGGCCACCACCATTCTACTTTCTTCTCTATACTTTTGACTGCTCTTAAGTATCCCATCGATGTAAAATCATACTGTAATTGTCTTTTTCTGATTGGCTTATTTCACTTAGCATAATGTCAACAAGGTTCGTCCATGTTGTAGCATGTGTCAGAATTTCCTTCCTTTCTAAGGCTGAAAAACATTCCGTTGTATGTGCACACATTTTGCTATTCATTTGCATCCACTGATGGATACTTGGGCCATATTTTAGCTACTGTGAATAATGCTGCCATAAACACAAGTGTACAGACATTTCTTCAAAACCCTGCTTTCAATTAGTATGGATACATACACAGAAGTGAAACTGCTGAATCATATAATTTGTTATTTTGAGAAACTGCCAAAATGTTTCCCACAACAGATGTACCATTTTACACTTACAACAACAGTGCACAAGGAATACAATTTCTCCGCACGCCAACACGTTATTTTCTGGGTTTCGGTAGCAGCCATCCTAATGGGAGTGAGCTGGTGGTACCTCATGATAGTTTTGGTTAGTGATGTGGAGCATCTTTTCATATGCTTATTGTCCATTTGTATATCTTCTCTGAAGAAATGTTTATTCAAATCCTTTGCCCATTTTTAATCTTTTTTTTTTTAAATTTTGGCAGTTGGCTGGCCTTTGCCCATCTTTGAATCTTTGGTTTTTGATGCTGCTGCTGAGTTTTAGTTCTCTATATGCCTGGATATTAATCCCCGATCAGAGATACGATTTGCAAATAATCTTCTTCCATTCTGTGCGTTGCCCTTTTACTGTACTGATAGTGTCTTTTCATACACAAACATTCTTAATTTTCGTGAAGTCTAATCTGTCTATTTTTTCTTTCGCTGCCTATGTCTTTGGTGTCATATTCAAAAAATCATTGCTGAGTCCAGTGTTGCAGAGCTTTTGTCCTGTGTTTGTCTAAGAGTTTTATGGTTTTAGGTCTTACAGTTGTCTTTTTTATGGAAACATAATTGATTGTTCATATCTTTGGGGTACAGCATTGAATATCAATACCTGTGTGCAATATGTGATGTTCATATTAGGATAATTAGAATATTCAACATTACACAATGTAATCATTTTTCGTGGCCTTTTGCCAATTTCTCACTAATCTCCCTCCAGCTCCCCATCTCCTACCTCTGGTGGCCTCAGTTCTATTCTCTCCTTTTGAAATTTCAATGAATTATTGAGATTGTTGTATCTTTTTTTTTTATTATTTGTTTGTTTTACGTTTTTTAGCTCCCATTTATGAGTGAGGACATGCAATATTTCTCTTTCTGTACCTGGCTTATTTCACTTCACATAATTTTCTCTAAGTTCATCCATGATGCTGTGAATGGCAGAATTTCATTTTGTTTCTTGGCAGAGTAGTATTCCACTGTGAATATATACCACATTTTCCCTATCCAGTCATCTGTTGATTGACATTTAGGTTCATTCCAACTCTTGAGCTGCAATAAACATTGGGAGTGCAGGTGTCCCTCCGACATGATTTCCATTCCTTTGTGTATACACCCAGCAGTGGCATTGCTGGATCGTATGGCAGCTCTATCTGTAGTTGTTTGGGAAACCTCCGTACTGTTTTCCATAATGGCTGCACTAACTTACAGTCCCACCAACAATGTAGGAGGGTTCCCTTTTCTCCACATCCTCACCAGCAGTTGTTATTCTCTGTCTTTTTGATAGTGGCCCATCTAACTGGAGTGAGAGGATATCTCATTGTGGTTTTGATTTGCATTTCCCTGATGCTGAGTGATGCTGACCATAGTTTCATGTGTCCATTGGCCATTTGTGTATCTTCCTTTGAGAAATGCCTATTCAGCTCCTTTGCCCAGTTTTTAAATTAGGTAACTTGTTTTTTTACTGTTAAGTTTTTAGAGTTCCTTGTATATTCGAGATAGTAACCCCTTGTCAGATGCATAGTTTGTAAATATTTTCTCTCATCTCTCATTCTGTAGGTTGTCTTTTTGCTGTTTCTTTGGCTGTGCAGAAGCTTCTTAGTTTGATATAATCCCATTTGTTTACTTTTTCTTTTGCTGCCTATGCTTTTGGGGTCTTATTCATAAAGTCTTTGCCCAGTCCCACTTCCTGAAGTGTTTCCCCTGTGTTTTCTTTTAGGAGTTTTATAGTTTCGTGTCTTATATTTAAGTCTTTAGTCCATTTTGAGTTGTCGTATGCCGTGGGAGGTAGGGGTCTTGTTTTATTCTTCCATATATGGTTGTCTAGTTTTCCCAGCACCATTTATTAAAGAGGCATTCTTCTCCCCAGTGTATATTCTTGGTGCCTTTGTCAAAGATCAGTTGGGTGTAAGTATGTGGGTTGATTGCTGGATTCTCCATTCTGTTCTATTGGTCTATGTGTCTGTTTTTATGTCAGTATCATTCTGTTTTGGTTACTACAGGTTTGCAGTATAATTTGAAGTAGGTAGTGTAATGCCTCCAGCTTTTTTTTTTTTCCCCCTCACTATAGATTTGGCTATTTGGGGTCTTTTGTTGTTCCATATGAATGTTAGGATTTTTTTTTTTTCTATTTCTTATAGTTAAGTATTGATCCATTCTGAGTTAATTTTTATTTATGGTGTAGGTGAGGGTCTAACTTTTTTCTTTTGCATATGGGTATTAGTTTTCTCAGCCCCGTTCATGGAAAAGACTGTCCATTCCCCATTGAAGGTCTTGGTCCCCTTGTTGAAAAATCATTTGATTATAATGTGAGGGTTTATTTCTGGCATCTCTATTTTATTCTATTGGTCTATATGTCTGTCTTTGTACCAATACATTATTATTTTGATTACTGTAGATTTGTAGTAAGTTTTGAAATCAAGAAGTGTGAGTCCTCCAGTTTTGTTCTTTTTCAAGATTGTTTTGTCAGTCTTGTTTTTTCAAGATTGTTCTTTTTTAAGATTGTTTATCCCTTGAGGTTCCATATGAATTTTAGGATGGATTTTTCTATTTCTGCAAAAAGTCTTTGTGATTTTGACAGGGATTGCATTGAATCTGTAGATTGCTTTGCCTAGTATCAACATCTTAACAATATTGTCTTCTAATCAATAAACACGGGTTATTTTATTTATTTATGTCTTCTTTGGTCTCTCAGCAATGTTTGATAGTTTTCATTGTACAAGTCTTTCATCTCCTTGATTAATTTGTATTTTATTCTTCTTGATGCTGAAGTAAATGAAATAGTTTTCATAATTTCCTTTTGTATCGTTCATTGTTGTTGTATAGAAATGCAACTGATTTTTTTTTTTTTTTTTTTTAAAGATGACCGGTAAGGGGATCTCAACCCTTGGCTTGGTGTTGTCAGCACCACGCTCAGCCAGTGAGCGAACCGGCCATCCCTATATAGGATCCGAACCCATGGCCTTGGTGTTATCAGCACCGCACTCTCCCGAGTGAGCCACAGGCCAGCCCTAATGCAACTGATTTTTGTGTGTTGACTTTGTGCCTGCTAATTTGCTAAATTCATTTATTAGTTCTAAATATTTGGGGGGAATCTTTAGGGTTTTCTACATGTCATATCATCTGCAAACAAAGGTAATTTACTTCTTCCTTTCCAGTCTGAATGCCTTTTATTTCTTTTTCTTGCCTAATTGGCCTGGCTAGTATTTCCAGTACTATGTTGAACAGAAGTAGTGAAAATGGGCATCCCTGCCTTGTTACTGATCTTAGAGGACAAGCCTTTTGATTTTACTTTTTTTTTTTTGTGGAGGGTGCAGCTGGCCAATACAGGGATTGAAGTACAAGGACCTTGGAACCTGGTGTTATCAGCACCATGCTCTAACCAACTGAGCTAACTGGCCAGCCCTGCTTTCAGTCTTTTATCATTCAGTATAATACTCACTGTGGAGTTTTCATGTATGGCTTTTTTTATGTTCAGGTAGTTTCCTTCTATTCCTAGTTTTTTTTGCATTTGTTTAAATCATAAAATGGTGTTATGTTTCTTCAAATACTTTTTCTGCATCAATTGAGATGATCATGTGGGTTTTGTCCTTCATTCTGTTATTGTGGTGTATTATGTTTATTTTTATAGATTGAACCATCCTTCCATTCCAGAATAAGTCCCATTAGTCATGATGTATAATCCTCTTAATATGTGCAGAATTAGGTTTGCTAGGTTAAATTTGTTGAGGATTTTTGCATTAGTGTTCCTAAGGAATATTGACCTGTGGTTTTCTTTTCTCGTGGTGTCTTTGTTTAGCTTTGGTATCCTGGTACTGCTGGCTTCATATAATGAGTTGTGTTCCTTATTCCTTAATTTTTGGGGAAAGTTTGAAATCAGTATTAGTTTTTCTTTAAAAGTTTCTTACAATTCACCAGTGAAACCATCTGGCCCAAGACTTTTCTTTGTCCGATTTTCAGTTACTGATTCAATCTCCTTACTTGTTATAGGTCTATTCAGGTTTTCTATTTCTTCATGACTCAGTCTTTCCCCACCACCAGCAGCTGGCCAGTAGGAGACCCAAACCCTTGACCTTGGTATTATCAGCACCACTCTAACCAAGTGAGCTAATTGGCCAGACTCTGTCTTGACAGGTTTTATGCTTCTAGGAATTTTTACATTTTATCTAGGTTCTCCACTTTGTTGGTGCACAATTGTTCATAGTACTCTTATAACCATTTTTATTTCTGTAGAATCAGTAGTAATGACCCCACTTTCATTTTTGATTTTAGTAATTTGAGTCTTCTTTTTTTCTTACTCCTTCCAGCTAAAGGTTTGTCAATTTTGTTGATCTTTTCAAAGTACAAACCTTCAGTTTTGTTGATTTTCTCTCGTTTTTCTATTCTGTATTTCATCTATCTCTG